TTTGTCATTTTATTTGTAATACAAGCAAAATACCTCAAGCGAAGCCAAATAAATACCTTGTCGTAATTTTAGACTTAAAACTCACGTGGAAACGTTAAGCTGAGAGTCGAATGAAGAAGGCAATATGTGCCTTTTATATGCATATGTAAGAAAATCTCTGGGAAAAGATAGGGTCTTAAACCATACATTGTGCACTGGATGTACACCGCGGTCATAAGACCTATTTTGACCTATGGAGATTTTATTTGGTGGACCAATGGACCAAGACTTTCCTCTTTATTCTAAGCAAGGTACAAAGATTAGCATGTCTTGCAATCACTGGCTGTTTGAACTCCACCCCTCAGGCTAGTTGAGAGATGATGCTAAATATAACTTCCCTTGATATATATGTATGTATATCAAATGCATTTCAGCTAAAGCATGAATCGCATTGATAATTGCACCATCCTACAAAAGATAGAATATCGAGACTGCTCTGGCCTACTCTGACAACGGATAGGACTCTCTTGCCCCTTAGTAAGAACTCGATTTGGCTTCTAACTGGTATAATTACTGGTCACTGTAAAGCTACTGTAGAAGCTGTTTGGGCGAAGAAGAAGTGGAATCGGTGACTACGCAGGCTTACAAGACCACAAACTACTATATCTTGGTAGAACACTTTTCCTTGTCTCAGAGATGCGTCAGTGACCTCGTAGCACAAGCAAACCTTGTAGCACAGTGCAACACGAAAAAATATAACCACATATGAACACTACTACGTGAAGATCAAAATCGCAAAAAAAATCGATTTTTACGTGTTACACAAATATTTCAAGTGCTTCTCTAAATTAGGCGTATACTTAATATTTGTAATATTAAAAAATTATTAACACTTATACGTACATATTCCTAAAAGTAGTGAAATTTTACAATGAAAAACTTTCCGCTTAGAATGAAAATTCATTTTTTTAATTTTATATGTTTACAACTTTTGTTCCTTATAGTAAAAGCTACAACTTTGCCTTAGAGGATAAATCAAAATTCATAGTGATATGGAATTTAGACCCACAACTGTATATCCCTCCGTCTGTTTTTCAGTGTAATTTTTAAATGGTTACTTCGATTTTAATAAAATGTGATACGTCTTGGAAGGAAATTGGGTATCATATTATTGAAAATGTCTTACTATAATTTGTTATAAGTAAGACAAATGTTCTTTTGGTGGACATATGTGTGAGACATATGTTGATTCTTGTTGACATTAACATACATACGTATATTTATGTTAATGTATATAATTAAAAAATTCACAATTTAACTTAAGGAAACTTTAATTGCTATTAAAATAAATAACCCCCTAACTTGTGTCTGAAACTGTTACTTTTTTGTCTAGCTTCTTAATTATTCTCTATAAGGACATAATTAATTATTTATTAAATATCTTTTTTTTAAAATACATGCATATTTTATATTTTAAACTTTATAATTAAATTTAATAGCTTTAAGTCTAATAAATCTTCTTAATAGCTATATGTGTATATGATTTTAAACACATACACACAACCAGTAGCACATAAAATATTTAATGAAAGGAAAAAATTCAAATCATACCAAAAAAAAAGCAAAGAAAAAACATAAAAAACAAGAAAACAAATATATCTAATAATCGTAAAAAAATACAAGTAGCAACAGAATACAAAATACCTAACTCCAGACTGAGTCCCTGGGTAAGGAATGTAATGGAATTATAAATAATACTGCTAAAACATAAAATAAAACAAAACACAACGAAATAAAATTAAATATAATAAAAAAAAAGAAGTAGTAGCAGCAAAATACTTGTATAAGAGCTTAATTGTTGTTAATGCCTTTTTAATTGTACCATTAATTGCTGACGCCTTGTCATAGGGTTTATGGTAGAGAAGAAATAAGAAAAAAAAGTAGCAACAACTAAAACAATATGAAAAAAAGACCCTAATGATACAACAATAATAAGAACAGCAAAAGGATATGAAAAAAAATTGTATTCAAATACAACTTAAAGTAAGTAGGCATAAGTATAAAAGGTATAAGGAAAAAGTCGGTCAAACCACGACTTAATGTTACCTCACACTAATAACACAAGGAACGAACTAAGGAGGGTATTATCGGCTTGAGTTGATTTATGTAATGCATAGAAATATTGATCATATAACTATCCACTCACAAACCAATCGCTTTAGAATCATTCCCTAAGATGATCTAGCTAAGTATGTCCGTCTCTGTCGGCCGATGTAAAACTTGTAAACAAACTACAGGTCGCTATTTTTAAGAAATTATGATACAAAGACCCTCTCAGAAAATGGAACATTTCTTTTACTGAATAAGATAATGTATTTAAGAATATTTTAGCAATATGTAGTAAAGTTTTATCTAAAAACAACTACGAATCGAGCTCAAATCAGGCTCATTTTGGGATTAATTCCATCTTTTACATTCCTTTATCAATCTTATTTTTATGTGAAATCATTTGAGCTTAATTCAAACCAAAAAGTCACAAAATATTTAAGAACTTTGATCACATTGACTCAAAAATGTTTCCATAGGTTAGGTTACGTGGGTTGCTCGCTAGTTAGCGAGTTCACTCGGATACCCTTCGAATTGCCATTCTCTTATGTTGAGAGTTTGTACATAAAGGAAAATAGTTTCTCTCCCTAATTTCGTTGACTACTTGGTTCTTGCGGTCCCCGGTATTTCTAATAAAACCGATCATGTTTTCTAGTCACACATCCCTGAGACTGTCCAGCTCATGAGCTTTACCAAGATAGAGTAGTCTGTGCTCTTGTAAGGCTGGACAGTCACATATAATTTCTTCTACCAATTCCTCTTCTTCTCATCTCAACAGCTCCTACAGTAGCTATAACGTGGGTAGCCCATACGTTCCGAAATATATCCAATCCTAGAGTGCCCAGTAATTATACCCGTGAGTTCTTACTAAAAGAAAAATGAGTCCTAGTCCTATCCGTTATCAGAGTGGGACAGAGCAGTCTCGATATTCTACAAGTAATGATATTTACCGTTTAACTCAAAGCCCAGTCATATATCAATTTTGATAGGGTCACCAGGGGAATGTGAATATCCATTTGCGCAACGACCCTGTGGTTCCCTCATGTCCTGGAACACATATCAACTCAAAGTGATGTTATGTCAGTTGTGTCGATGATTGAATACAATTAGAAGACATTTCCTCTAAATAACATTGGAGTTAAAGGCCCTGATTGATGCAAGACTATCCAAGTAGTTGAATTTTTGAGATTCAGGATTCTTCTCGGGGCTGTATTAATTGCATATAATAATAGTTCCATATTTAAATCAAATATTTTGTTTTGGAACCAAGGTATACTATTAAAATGGATAGAACCGCGCTGAAACCGTATCTGACTCTTATATCCAATATAAACGCTATAGCTCAAGTTATGACGATGCCTTTTAATGTGTTAAAGTAATTTCGAGAATTTTTCCATCACATCTTGGATTCGAGATATCGTGTCCTGAAGGCAACATTATTTATAAAATTATCTCCATTATATCTAAGATTTGAAATATCATCTCCTGAAATTTGGAAAAAACACAAATTTTAGCCCTTTTTGAGACCTTAAAAGAGCGCCAAGACAACTTTAAAATAGGTTGTGTTACGTTACCTTTCAAATAAAGGCTTAACATCTGATATATCTTCATTCTTCTTCGAGATATCTTCCCCTAAAGCATGAAAACTCATGGTTTTCCATATATTCATGGTATTTTTACCCTACACTACAACATATAGTGATGATCAACGCGTACACGTAATGATGTTCTAATCGACTCAAAATCACTTTCCGATTCGATTTAACGAATCCGTAGACTTCAACGGATGATATCTTAGCAAGTACAACAGATTTTTAAACAATTCAAAAAGTATTTTTTTTTTTAGGTAACATGTAAGAAATTATAGTCGGTCGTGGCCGACTATATATAAGAGATTATAATGTTGTTTATTTTTCATTAAAAAGCATTTAAGTTATATGCCCCCTATGTATTTAAGCAACTTATTGATGAAAAACTAATTTTCTGAAAGAGGATCTATATGGAAACTGGGGGAAAAAGTTGACCGACCCCAATAAAATTTACATAAAATGTATTTATCCTTATCGCCACATTAGCCTTTTTACGCGAATTGCAAACATTTAACTCATTTTCTGAATGGGTCTTTGTATGAGGACTAGGGCCAAGTAAGGCCCGATAATTAAAAAATTCGGCAGGGTCATCAACGCAAGTAAAATTTTGTTGTACCGCTTTCTATCGAGATACTAGTTTATTAAACATAATTATGAGCTCAAAAGCCCCATTCAGAAGATTAGGTTCTATGGGGGCTATATGAAATAATGGACCGATTTAATAGGCTTCGTCCCTGAAATAATAGAAGATCACGTATCAAGCTTCATTGAATTGTCATCAAAATTCCAACCTGTAGAAAACTGGGGGGGGGGGGGGGGGGGGTGTTTCAGTTGTATGGGGCTATGTGACATAAAGGGATCGATTTTAACCATTTTCAATAGGCTTCGTCCTTGGAATAATAGAAGATCATGTTGCAGATTTCATTGCATTATCTTAAAAATAGTTCGATTACAAGGTTAACATGGACGGACATTGCTTAATCGACTCAGAAAAAGATTCTAAGCTGATTGGTATACTTTAAGGTGGGTATAGGACCTATATTATTGTGCGATACAGACATCAGCACAAACCTAATATAGCCACTCCAGTAAAGTGGTGTAAAAGGTCTCAAAAGACCCGCGGAAGGTTTTTTCACTAAAAGGACCCAAGAAACAGTTTTACGTTATTAGAACACTACCGGCTACCACGTAGTGATAGGGCACAATTTTGGTTATAACCCTAATGTGCAGATGTGTGTCAATATATAAATCATTTCTAACATTATAAACATTATCAAATGACACATACAAGTTAGTAATTAACCCTTTCAATGACAAGATAAATTATCCTTTTTTTATTTGTCAAATACATACGTATAAATATAATTATTACAATAATTATGAATTGTGTTTTTGTTTATTATTTGATACCTAAGTGAAATCAAAACTTTGTACAACTACTGTCTAAATGATTAATTTATTTTATTTAATGTATCTGTTCAAATTAATTGCTTATAAAATATATTATATTATTTCTTACTATACCCTACAATACTATAATCGGAACTAGATGATGTTAGACTTTCTTCTCTTTATTAACATTACTGAGCTTTCTTTTTGTTTTTAATTTCCATAAGAATTGAATCAAAATCTTTACAAATACTAAAGCTAAAAAAGTTATTAAGGCAAATACACATAATATTGCAAAGATTACATCTATATTGTAGAATTGCCACCAAGTCAAATTCTGTCCCATATTGCGTAAATGTCTGGCACCTTTATGACGTAAAACATATTCAATCCAATAGACAGCTCGTTCCATGGGTGTGTTTTGTTGATCACGAAATCTATGCGATAAGGTTTTGGCAATATTGGTATAGTATGGAGATCCTAACAGTTCATTGAATGCTTTTGCAAAACTTTTTTCTGATATGGTATGTAATTTAATGGACACTCCATTGCCAACTCTCTTGACATAATCCACATAATCCTCTTGCTTTTCGGTAGATACCACACCTAAAATCGGTAGACCATGATAGACGCTTTCTATAATGCTAAGAAAACCACCAGGAGTTATATATAGTTGTATATTAGGGTGTGGTAGTATAGAGGCTTCAACAAAGTTGGGGGATACATAAACATTTGGCGGTGGATTAGGAATTTTCTGGGAAGTCTTCCAAAGTATTAGCTGAGGCATGGACTTAAATTGTTGTAGAAATATATTCACCGTCTGGGGATTCAATTTAACATCTAAAGATATTAGAATAACTCCTTTACGGCCACTATCCAAAATTTGCTTGACAACTGGAGTTAAAGGTTCGGGATTTGTTACAATATTTAAACCAGCCACTTCAATCATATTGGGTACATAAGGTCTGGGTGTCGTTAAGGAAAAATGATCATTCAACAGAACCAAAGAGAAATTTGTTTGAGCTTCTTCAAATGTTAGTTTTGCATTGGTATAGTAAAAATTATAGATTTGTTTTTGTATCGGCATATATTTGCGATAATAATGAGCCAATTCCACAAAATATAACATAACATTTAAAAGTCTTTCCCAAAAAGTCATTTCATGCAGAGGTAAAATTAAGTTTGGTAAATATGACATGGGACTTATATTACCCACCAATTCATCAATTGAAATCATGGTACCCAAGGTTGATACACCCACAATTGGTGCCTGCAAATACTCTGACAAACCAAAAAATGATTCCGAAAAGAATACCTCCAAAATAATTAAATCAATTTTCTCCTGATCCAATATTTGACGAACTGCGGCATCATTTTGTACGTTTATACACATTTGGAAAGCTCGATTATACATTTCATCTACTATCTCATAGTAATTTGCCTCAATATTATCCACGGTAAAATTTTGAAAATCTATAACAAATGTACAGTTAAGTTCGGTTGGTTAAAAATTTAAAACGCATAAGCTTACCTATAAATAAATTATTATTTTTCTTAACCACAACATCACGAAAATTGGGTATTGGTTGTTTTTGTGGAAAACTTGTTATGGACGTTATTTGATGGCCTCGTGCCGCCAATTCCTTTAGTAACGGCTCTATAAAGGCATATTGAGAAGGTACGGGCATTGCAAATAATGACAATATGTGTGCCGCATATAAAGAATTGGGTAATATAGACAATACTATTAATAGATATTTGTTAGACATTTGTTTATTTATAAAATTATTCACATTTGTCTCAAAGTGACCAAATGCTTAAACTACTAGCTGAGTACTAAATAATTGTTCTGTAGTCTAGCTTTATAATTTCATTATCTTTATTAGATTATAAACAACTTTGATAGTGTTTTTTATTCAATATCTTTTAAAGATAATGAAAAACAATAAAGTAATATATATCTGTATTAGGTTGGCGCCAAAATAGAAGTTACTAATGTTCTTAACAAAAATGAAAATTTAGTGTATTTGCACATAAAATAAATTGTAAATTAGAGTGGTATCTTAGAAAGAAACCAGTTTTCATTTTCATTGGTTAAATCTGTATCTTATTTTTACTCCATACATATGGGGCTCCCCTAATATATATATATATACTTTAGATAAGGCATATGTGAAAGTACTTATAAAATTGTAAACAAATCGCAGACCCCTTCAGGTGTAAACAAATTGAAAATGTAAACAAAAAAAGTAAGAAATTATAGTCGGGCGAGGCCGATCATATAATACCCTACACCTGTTACCAAAATAAAATGTGATTTAGTTTTCATAATAAAACATTTAAGTTGAATTGTACCTTGACTCAGATATACTTAAGCCATTTATTGTTGAATAAAATTGTGGACATTTAAGTCAAATTTTGAAGGGGGCTTTGTATAGGGGCTATGGTCAAATGTAACCCCAATATAAATATAAAATTCATGAGAGTCATCAAGGCTAGTATAGAACTTGGCTTTGCAGCTTTTTGTCGAGATACGATTATATTAAACATAATTATGAACTTGAAAGACCTATTCGACGGGTTCAGTTGTATGGGGGCTAGGTGAAATCATGGACCGATGTTAACCATTTTCAATAGGCTTCATGTGTCAAATTTCATTTAATTATCTTCAAAATTGCGACCTGTAATTTGATTACAAGGCTTACAAGCCCTATTCAGGGGTCAGTTGTATCGAGGCTAGGTGAAATAATGGACCGATGTTAACCATTTTCAATAGACTTCGTCTCCGGTACCATAGAAGATCATGTGCCAAATTTCATTGATTTATCATCAAAATTGCGACCTGTAGTTTGATTAAAAACTTTACAAGACCTATTCAGGGGTTCAGTTGTATGGGGGCTATGTGAAATAATGGACCGATCTTAACCATTTTCAAGAATCTTTGTCCCTGGGCAATAGAAGCTCATGTACCAAATTTCATTGAATTATCTTTAAAATTGCGACCTGTAGTTTGATTACAAGGTTTACATGGACGGACAGACAGACGGACATAGCTAAATCGGCTCAGAAAATGATTCTAAGCTGATTGGTATACTTTAAGGTATAGGACCAATATTATTGTGCGTTACAAACATCAGCACAAACCCAATATACCCTCCCCACTAAAGAGGTTTAGGGTATAATTATTGCTACAGAGAGGCCATCTGTTGGCAAATTTTGCCAGACAATCTAATCTAATCGATTCTTTTCTAACCTCACAGCATGGATTTTGAATTAAAAGCTAATTTATTTAACAACGTTATCTTCTGAACTTGTGCTTATCTCTCACCTTATGTTCAACAATTAATTAAAACTAATGTATATAAAATGTTTATAAAATATATATAAAATTAAAAATATATTTAATCAATATTTACTATTGATTAGAGTACATTACCTGTCCTAATATTGTTTCTAGTAAATTAAATATAAGAAATTTGTTTAAATACAAAAAATTTATTATCAATTACCATTATTACACAAGTAATTGAACAATATTTGACCTTGACAATGATATGTGAATTTGAACACTTATTCTATATTTGGAAAACAGAATTTTTAAAAGTAATATCTTTGGAGGAGGAAAACATTTTCGTCAAATCATATTTTTTAACTCTTTACGGACAATAGACAGTAGAAGGAACTAGATGAGAATAAGGCGCTTTGGCCGAAGATGGTCCGATGTTACCATAAAGCTAAATATTGCGAAGTTTTATGTGTAAAAAACATTATGAAAGGAAACCATCTTAACCCTTTAGATTCTTCTTGTAATGTCAACAGACAGATGGACATAGCTAGATAATCTTAGATTCGAATAAGTACCTTTAATATATGGGCAATTTCGTGTCAAGTGACTTAACTCAAAAAAATCGATTTGGATGAAATTTGAATCAAGGTTAGTACTATTAGATAGTAGGCCAGATACAAATTTTCAGCTCGATCGGCCAAGAACTGCCGGAATTAGAGGGAGTCAAAGTCGGACATTTTCAGCTATTGGTACTTTTTCTAAATTTCTAACACTCTTTTTACAGAAAACTGGTCGAATACGTGTCTATGAAAAACTTGCAGAACATCTTTCTAGAGAAAACTAATTGGCCAGATTTTTATAGGAAATAGCGAACTGTTCGAACTCTTTTCTATAGAAAACTGGTCGAAAATTTTTATATAGAAAACTGGTCGCACACTTATCTAAAGAATACTTTTCTATAAAAAACTAGTCGAACGAACTCTTTTCTATAAAAAACTGGACGAATATCTTTCAATAGAAAACTTATTAATCAGGGTTTTATAGGAAACTGTAGAACTGGATGAATATCTCTCAACAGAAAACCTTTATAGGAAACTGGTATCTTCGATAACTGGTGACTTTTCTATAGAAAACTGATTGGTCACGTTTGAACAGAAAACTGGTCGAAAACTATTCGACCAGCACGAACACTTTACTATAGAAAACTGTTTCAATGTTCGATCAACTTTCTACAGAAAACTGATCGACAACGTTTTTATAGCAACCTTTTCTATAGAAAACTTCATCAACACTTGTCTATAGAAAACTTCATCAACACTTTTCTACAGAAAACTACACGAACACTTTACTATAGAAAACTGTTTCACTGTTTTGAACGTATTTCTATAGAAAACTGGTCGAAAACTATGGAAAACTGTATGAAAACTTTTCTATAGAAAACTTCATCAACACTTTTCTATAGAAAACTGTATGAAAACTTTTCTATAGAAAACTGCACGAAAACTTTTCTATAGAAAACTGGTCGAACAATTTTCTATAGAAAACTGCACGCAATTTTTTCTGTAGAAAACTGGTCGAACTGTTTTCTATAGAAAACTAGTCGAACTATATTCTATAGAAAACTGATCGAACTCTTTCCTATAGAAAACTAGTCGAACTCTTTTCTATAGAAAACTAGTCGAACTCTTTTCTATAGAAAACTAGTCGAACTCTTTTTTATAGAAAACTAGTCGAACTCTTTTCTATAGAAAACTAGTCGAATACTTTTCTATAGAAAACTAGTCGAATACTTTTCTATAGAAAACCAGTCGAATACTTTTCTATAGAAAACTAGTCGAATACTTTTCTATAGAAAACTAGTCGAACTCTTTTCTATAGAAAACTAGTCGAACTCTTTTCTATAGAAAACTAGTCGAACTCTTTTCTATAGAAAACTAGTCGAATACTTTTCTATAGAAAACTAGTCGAATACTTCTCTATAAAAACTGATCCTACGTTTTTCTATAAAAAACTGGTAGAAAACAAATAGCTTGTAAAATCAAGGATGATAATGAGAGCTCGTTGTCTAACGCTGCTTTAGATGGTGATGGATATAAAACTTTTGTACATCGAACAAAACTTACCATTGAATTATTGTATAACTTTTAAAAGAAACCATCACAATTTTTGTTAATATATCACAGTTTTAATTTTCTTGTTACTATACTATTATTCTGCTTAAAATTTTACGCTTCTTTTTCTTTATTTACTTCAAATTTCTTTCTAATTTTTGATTTCCAAAAAACTTTCAGCAAAATATTAACAATAACTAAGGCCAAACTAGTTATTAAAGCAAATATACCAAATATTGCAAATATTACATCAATATTATAAAATTGCCACCAAGACAAATTATGTCCCATGTTGCGTAAATGTCTGGCACCTTTATGACGTAGAACATATTCAATCCAAAAGACAGCTCGTTCCATAGGTGTGTTTTGTTGATCACGAAATCTAAACGATAAAGTTTTGGCAACATTAGCATAGTGTGAAGAACCTAAAAGTTCATTAAAAGCCTTGGCAAGAACTCGTTCAGAGATGCTATGTAATTTAAGGGACAGTCCATTGCCCACCTTTTGAATGTAGTCGACTATGTTATCCTGTTTTTCGATAGAGGACACACCCAAAATTGGTAAACCATGGTAAACACTTTCTATAATGCTAAGAAAACCGCCATGTGTTATGTATAGTTTTAAATTAGGATGTGGTAGAATGGAAGCTACAACAAAATTGGCATCTATGTGTACATTTGGAAGTGTGTAAGGAATTTTCTGGGAAGTTTTCCACAATATTGTATAAGGCAGGGTTTTAAATTGTTGGAAAAATATGTCCAAAGTATAAGGATTAATAAAAGTGTCGAGATTTATCAGTATGACTCCTTCCCGGGCATTGTCGAGGATATGTTTAATATTAGGCTTTAGAGGATCTGGATTTGTTACAATATTTAAGCCAGCCACTTCTATCATATTGGGTACATAAGGTCTTGGTGTCGTTAAAGAAAAGTGATCATTTAATAAAACTAAAGAGAAATTTCTTTGAGCTTCTTCAAATGTTAATTGGGCATTAGGATAATAAAATTTATAGATTTGTTTTTGTAGAACCATATATTTCCGGTAATAGTGAGCCCATTCAATAAATTCCAATAATACGTTTAAAAATCGTTGCCAAAAATTCATTTGACGTAGAGGTAAAATTATATGAGGTATATACGATATGGGACTTATATTACCCACCAGTTCATCAATAGCAATCATAGTACCCATGGTAGATACTCCAACAATTGGTGCTTTTAAATACTCGGATAAACCAAAAAATGATTCAGCAAAAAATACATCCAATATAATCAAATCAATCTTCTCATTATCCAATATTTGACGAACAACTATGTCATTCTGTATATTTATACACATTTGAATGGCTTGACTATAGATTTTATCAATCAATTCATAGTAATTTGCTTCCTGGTTGTCTAAGGTAAAGTTGTGATAGCCTGTAACAATGTATTTTTGTTAGAATCAAAATTTTTTTTAATTGTAACTAGTCTAGTAGCTAGCTTACCAAAAAATAAATGTTTATTTTTTTCTACCACAACATCACGAAAATTGGGTATTGCTTCTTTTTGTGGAAAATTTGTTATTGATGTTATTTGATGACCCCGTCCCGCCAATTCTTTTAGTAGCGGCTCTATAAAGTCATATTGTGAACGCATGGGCACTCCAAATAAAGATAGTATGTGTGCCGCATATAACGAATTGGGAAATATACACAATACTATTAAGAGATATTTGGAATGCATTTATTTATTCTTTAAATTAATTACATTTGTCTTTAAGTGACCGAACGGTTTAACTACTGGTAGAATACTAAATAATTGTTTTCTCGCCTAGCGTTATAATTTTTCTTTATCAGATATTGTATATTTTTTCCAGATAAGGATATTTTTGTTGTAAAATAATAATAAAACCAATAAGTACATGTATGTACTTGAGATAAGGTAAACGTGAAAGTACATAAAAATTGCTAACAAATCGTTAATCGTTTCAGCTGTTAACAGATTAGAAATGTTAACAAAATTATTGTCATTTCAAAAAAAACAGGCAGGCCATCTGTTGGCAAATTTTGCAAAACAATATAGCCAAATCTAATCAGATTATTTGCTTACCAATAGAATTTGAATTTTATTAGCCAAAACTTGTGCTAATCAGTAGCTTACCTTAGATTTAAGTATAAATTAATCCTAAAGAATTAAAAATAAAATTAAAAATAAATTTAATCAATATTTCCTATTGATTACAGTACATTACCTGTCCTACTATTTTGTCTAGTAAAGTAAACATAAGAATGCTATTTACACAAGTAATTGAACAACAATTGAAAACAAGTAAAAAGTTATAGTCGGACGAGGCCGACCATATAATACCCTACACCTGTTACAAAAATAAAATGTGATTTAGTTTTCATAATAAAACATTTAAGTCGAATTGTACCTTGCCTCAGATATACTTAAGCCATTTATTGTTGAATAAAATTGTTGACATTTAAGTTAAATTTTGAAGGGGGCTTTGTATAGGGGCTATGGTCAAATGAGACCCTATAAATATAAAATTTATGAGAGTCACAAGGCTAGTATAAAAATTGGTTTTACAGCTTTTTGTCGAGATACGATTATATTAAACATAATTATGTATTTAAAAACCCTATTCGTCAGGTTCAGTTGTATGGGGGCTAGGTGAAATAATGGACTGATGTTAACTATTTTCAATAGGCTTAGTCCCTGGGACAACATATACCAAATTGAATTATCTTCAAAATTGTGACCTGTAGTTTGATTACAAGGTTTACATGGACGGACAGACAGACAGACAGACAGACAGACAGACGGACGGACGGACGGACATAGCCAAATCGACTCAGAAAATGATTCTAAGCCGATTGGTAAACTTTAAGGTATAGGACCAATATTATTGTGTGTTACAAACATCAGCACAAACCCTATATACCCTCATCACTAAAGTGGTGTAGGGCATAACAAGTAATGGAACAAAAATTTGACCTTGACAAGAGAAGTGAAGTCGAACAGTTTTCCTGTAGTTTGGAAAACTGACACAAAACTTTTGTTAAAGAATGGTGATTATGACTCTTCTCTATTAAAAGTAAATAGAAAACATTTCCATTAAAAAGTGGTGAATTATCAAGCACTTTTTCTTTTCATAGAAATCGTTTTTACTTTTCTATAGAAAACTGGTCAAACACTTTTAATTTTCTGTAGAATACAGATCAAACATTTGTATTTTTTATATAAAAGTATTCTACCAATGCAAAATGTTCAACAAATTCGAAGGAACACTTTTCTAAAGAAAAGTTTTCTATAGAACAGTTTTCTATAAAAAAACTTTTCGAAAACTATTCTAAAGAAAACTGGTCGAACACTTTCCTATAGAAAACTGGTCGAACCCTTTTCTATATAAAACTGGTCGATCACTTTTCTATAGAAAACTGGTCGAACCCTTTTTTATAGAAAACTGGTAAAACATTTTTATAAAAAATCTGGTCGAACACTTTTCTAAAGAAAATTTGGCGAACACTTTGGTAAAACTGGTAAAATATTTTTCTAAAGAAAGCTGGTAGAATACTATTCTATAGAAAACAGGTCGAACATTATTCTAAAGAAAACTATTCTATAGAAAACTGGTCGAATACTTTTTTATAGAAAACTGGTCGAACACTTTTCTAAAGAAAATTGGGCGAACACTTTGTAAAACTGGTAAAATATAGAAAACTGGTCTAACATTTTTCTATAGAAAACTGGTCGAACACTATTTTATAGAAAACTGGTCGAATACTTTTCTATAGAAAACTGGTCGAACACTTTCCAAAGAAAATTGGCCGAACACTTTTCTATGGAAAACTGGTCGAACAATTTTCTCTAGAAAACTGGTAAAATATTTTTCTAAAGAAAACAGGTAGAACACTATTCTATAGAAAACTGGTCGAACACTTTTCTAAAGAAAACTGGTAGAACACTTTTCTATATAAATCTGCTAAAACATTTTTCTAAAGAAAACTGTCCGAACACTTATTTATAAAAAACTGTTCGAACACTTTCCTATAGAAACCTGGCAAAACATTTTTCTATAGAAAACTGGCCGAACACTCTTCTATAGAAAACTGGTAGAAAACTTTTCTATAGAAATCTGGTCGAACACTTTTCTAAAAAAAACTGTTCGAACATATTCTAAAGAATGCTGGTCGAATATATTTATAAATAGAAAACATTTTTTTATTGAAAACTGATCGTTCGCGTCTTTATAGAAAACTAGTCGAACACTTAATTGTATCAAATTTTTCAAATAACGCTTCGTTAAATAGTGGTGAATACAAAAAACTTGTGTGAATCGAGCAAAACTTACCTCTGAATTATTGCATAACTTTTAAACGAAACCATTAAAAATAATAACATTTTTTAAATACATCACAGTTTTCATTTTCTTATGACTATACTATTATTATTCTTATAATATTATGCTCCTTTTTCTTTATTTACATAGAATTTTTGTCTTATTTTTAATTTCCAAAAAACTTTCAGTAAAAAATTAACAATAACTAAGGCCAAACTGGTTATAAAAGCAAAAAAACAGAATATTACAAACATAACATCTATACTGTAAAATTGCCACCATGACAAATTATGTCCCATGTTGCGTAAATGTCGGGCACCTTTATGACGTAGAACATATTCAATCCAATAGATAGCGCGTTCCATGGGTGTGTTTTGTTGATCACGAAATCTAAACGATAAAGTTTTAGCAACATTAGCATAATGTGAAGATCCTAAAAGATCATTTAAAGCTTTGGCCAGAACTCGTTCAGAGATGGTATGTAGCTTAATGGATATTCCATTGCCCACCTTATGTATGTAGTCCACAAAGTTATCTTGCTTTTCGATAGAGGATACACCCAAAATTGGTAAACCATGGTAAATACTTTCTATAATGCTAAGAAAACCTCCATGTGTTATGTATAGTTTTAAATTAGGATGTGGTAGAATGGAAGCTACAACAAAATTGGCATCTATGTGTACATTTGGAAGTGTGTAAGGGATTTTCTGGGAAGTTTTCCACAATATTGTATAAGGCAGGGTTTTAAATTGTTGGCAAAATATGTCTAAAGTATAAGGATTCATAAGAGTGTCAAGAGTTATTAGTATGACTCCTTCCCGGGCATTGTCGAGGATATATTTGATATTAGGCTTCAGAGGCTCTGGATTTGTTACAATATTTAAGCCAGCCACTTCAATCATATTGGGTACATAAGGTCTTGGAGTCGTTAAAGAAAAGTGATCATTTAATAAAACTAAAGAGAAATTCCTGTGAGCTTCTTCAAATGTTAATTGAGCATTAGGATAATAAAATTTGTAGATTTGTTTTTGTAGAACCATGTATTTGCGGTAAAAGTGAGCCCACTCCAAAAATTCTAATAATACATTTAAAAATCTTTGCCAAAAATTCATTTGCCGTAGAGGTAAATACAAATGAGGTATATACGACATGGGACTTACATTGCCCACTAACTCATCAATGGGACTTATGGTACCCATAGTAGATACTCCTACAATTGGTGCCTTCAAATACTCGGACAAACCAAAAAATGATTCAGCAAAAAATACATCCAATATAATCAAATCAATTTTCTCATTATCAAATATTTGACGAACGGCTGTATCATTCTGTATATTTATACACATTTGAATGGCTTGACTATAAATTTCATCCACCAATTCATAGTAATTTGCTTCCAGATTGTCTAAGGTAAAATTATGATAGCCTACAATAATGGATATTGTTAGTATTTCAATTATTAAGTAAATTAGTGAATAATCTAGTCTCTTACCAAAAAATAAATGTTTATTTTTTTCTACCACAACATCACGAAAATTGGGTATTGCTTCCTTTTGTGGAAAATTTGTTATTGATGTTATTTGATGGCCCCGTCCCGCCAATTCTCTTAGTAACGGCTCTATAAAGTCGTATTGCGAACGCATGGGCACTCCAAATAAAGAAAGTATATGTGCCGCATATAAAGAATTGGGAAATATACACAATACTATTAAGAGATATTTGGAATGCATTTATATATTCTTTGAATTATTTTCATTTGTCTTTAAGTGACAACTTGCAACGACTGCTAGTTGCGTACTAAATAATTATTCTACAGTTCAGAATTATAATTCTATTATCTTTATTAATTAATCAACAAACAATTTTGATAACATCTTGTAAAGATAAGTCGATTTTTAGGTTGTCTGTGGTAAGCATGTTAAATAAGTACTCTGGGAGAGTATTGAGAGGCTAGTAAACAAGTGTTATTTATAAATATTTCTAAAATTTTAAGAACATTATTGTATTAGTGTTATAGTATTTTGTTTAAAAGGCAGGTTAATTGCTACAAAATTTTGCAAAACAGTTTAATCTAATCAGGTTTGTGTCATAAAGAATTGACAGATACATTAAAATATACAAAGTCTATTGTCTGTACCCTACACCATTATACTTCATACTGGAAGTTTCCCAGCAAAAAATCTGAAATTTTTGGTAATAGCCAGTAGTTATTTCATACATTACTTGGTAATGAGTGTTCATTATCATCCACATTATTTCATTTAACTGAATAGGTTATTACTGGTAAAGAACAAAACAATTTGGATTTGTTATGGCTCAATTGTCTAGGTCGTTCATTTAACAAACAGGGGGTTCGTGGTTCGAGCCCTGCTGGATACTGTTTATTTTTGTCAAAATGACATTCATTTATATATTTTTGTAAAAAGCCGTTCTCAAAATTATAAAAAGCAACATGTTAATGGAGCATCGAGTAAGCGGCTGGAGTGAGAAACACAGAAAACGGACGATTTTTTTATTTTTTGTTTTCTACATACAAAGTCGGCCCAAAATAACTAGCTATCTATCACATAACGTATTTGTAGGTTTATTTGTAACTAGTTATTTCGCAAAGTTTTTGTAATCAAATAGTAACCATTTATTAATATGTTTAAGGTAGGTACATATTATTTGAACCTCGTCGAACAAAAATAATTAGTTATTCACCCCAAAAGTACTTAGTTTCCACGTGATTCCAATATTACTTTCTAGATTACTAGGTAATGAAAATTTTTGCTGGGTTGTAACGCTAAAAAGTATATACGAGTGCCTTCAGATCCCCTTCTGAGTCAATTAAGACTGTACGTCCCGTCTATCCCAGGCCGACATTTTACCAGACTTTTCGTTCGGAACGAACGAACGAACGAAACGAACGAACGAACGAAACGAACGAACGAACGAAACGAACGAACGAACGAACGACGAACGAACGAACGAACGAACTAAGAACGAAGAACGAACGAACGAACGAACGAACGAACGAACGAACGACGAACGAACGAACGAACGAACGAAGAACGAACGAACGAACGAACGAACGAACGAAACGAACGAACGAACGAACAACGAACGAACGAACGAAACGAACGAACGAACGAACGAACGAACGAACGAAAGAACGAACGAACGAACGAACGAACGAACGAACGAACGAACGAACGAAAGAACGAACGAACGAACGAACGAACGAACGAACGAACGAACGAACGAAGAACGAACGAACGAACGAAACGAACGAAACGAACGAACGAACGAAACGAACGAACGAACGAACGAACGAACGAACGAACGAACGAACGAACGAACGAAAACGAACGAACGAACGAACGAACGAACGAACGAACGAACGAACGAACGAACGAAGAACGAACGAACGAACGAAGAACGAACGAACGAACGAACGAACGAACGAACGAAACGAACGAACGAACGAAACGAACGAACGAACGAACGAACGAACGAACGAACGAACGAACGAACGAACGAACGAACGAACGAACGAACGAACGAACGAACGAACGAACGAACGAAAGAACGAACGAACGAACGAAACGAACGAAGAACGAACGAACGAACGAACGAACGAACGAACGAACGAAAACGAACGAACGAACGAACGAACGAACGAACGAACGAAAACGAACGAACGAACGAACGAACGAACGAACGAGAACGAACGAAACGAACGAACGAACGAACGAACGAACGAACGAACGAACGAACGAACGAACGAACGAACGAACAACGAACGAACGAACGAACGAACGAACGAACGAACGAACGAACGAACGAACGAACGAACGAACGAACGAACGAACGAACGAAAGAACAAACGAACGAACGAACGAACGAAACGAAACGAACGAACGAACGAACGAACGAACGAACGAACGAAGAACGAACGAACGAACGAAACGAACGAAACGAACGAAACGAACGAACGAACGAACGAACGAACGAACGAACGAACGAACGAAGACGAACGACGAACGAACGAACGAACGAACGAAAGAACGAACGAACGAACGAACGAAACGAAAACAAACGAACGAACGAACGAACGAACGAACAAGAACGAACGAACGAACGAACGAACGAACGAACGAACGAACGAACGAACGAACGAACGAACGAACGAACGAACGAACGAACGAAACGAACGAACGAACGAACGAAACGAACGAACGAACGAACGAACGAACGAACGAACGAACGAACGAACGAACGAACAACGAACGAACGAACGAACGAACGAACGAACGAACGAAAACGAACGAACGAACGAACGAACGAACGAACGAACTAACGAACGAACGAACGAACAACGAACGAACGAACGAACAACGAACTAAACGAACTAACTAACAACGAACGAACGAACTAACTAATAACTAACTAACTAACTAAAACTAACTAACTAACAAACTAACTAACTAACTAACTAACTAACTAACTAACTAACTAACTAACTAACTAACTAACTACTAACTAACTAACTAACTAACTAACTAACTAACTAAATTGTCTAAGCTTTCTTTTGAGCAAAAAAAAAAAAAAAAAAAAAAAAAACAAAAAGGTCCATTTTGAAAAAATAGGAACAAATTAATTCCCAAATATTGGAAAAAATATTCTTGAGTTAAAAAATATTTCTTTATAGATATCTCACTCGCATTCCATTATGAGACTATACAGCCCTTAAAGGAAATTGTATAAGTGTTCTTTTGAGCAAAAAAAGGATCATTTTGAAAAAAAAAAGGAAACACCAATAGGTGAAAAGAATAAATCGTTGTATCACCAAAATGCCCAACTTTGACTCACTCTAAGTCTGGCTAAAAATAGAGCTAAAAATTCCGTCTATCCTACTATCCAGTTGTACTCACCTTATTTCTATTTCCAAATCCAAATCGGAAGACTTAAATTTTAAAGGTTGGGTATCTTGTTACGAAATTGCCCATATTTGTTTTTATAAGACAATGTGTTTTTGTATATGTGTATGAATCATATAGTCTTGACTTCAATATCCTATTTGTTTTATAATATTGAATATATGTTTTTCTTTATTTCGTTACAGATTTTGATGTTTTAAAGATCTCTTCAAATGACGTCATAAATTGTATAAAGGTAAATTTAATTACATATGTAAAATTTAATTACAAAAACCCAAAAACTTAAAGCATTACATAAATACATAAAAACTAAAAAAAAAACAAATGCAAATTTTAAAGACATAACTAATAAACCTAAGTACATACTTACATTTACTTTTACAATTTAACAACTAATTAAGTAAAATATTCATTCACTTTTAAAGTATCTAATTGATAAATCTAATAAAATTCAAGTAATATCATTTTATATAATTTTGGTTTTAATTTTTTTTTTTTTGTTGTTTAAAATACTTAGTTTAAAGCTACTACATACTCATTTTTTATGCTGTTTTAAAATTTTCATATTTAATTAATCATTTACCCAAATGTTTAACTTTGTTTGTAATTTATATAGTATGGGAACACAATTCTATCAAAAATCTTTTACAGCCACGTGTTTTGAATACACTGTCGGAGAATTTCTTATTCAGACAAATTAATGGTAGTTGGGAATGGTTTTTGAAATTGAAAATTAATGTTTAACATTAAATTCATAAATAACTAATGTTATAGATTTTTTTGTCTTGTTGAAAATAGTTTCAGACATGTGTATGTACTTTTGTATTAAAATGTATAAATAATCATACAAACTTTTAGAAATTTAAAGACATACATATCGTCACCTGATATGTAAAAAGGCGTAACAACAAAAAAATCGAAAATCGACTACTGCATCAAAATACATGTTGTCGCAAATTTTTAGAACTCTTTTGTTAAAACCTTTTGTTTCTTCTGTAAAATTTTTAAAAGTATTGTTACGCCCTTTATAGTTTTAAGCAACGATATGTACAGTGTACATACTGCAAATATTTCAAAGTTTAATTTATATAGTGGGCTGCTTGGGAAGTATTTTCGAAACTAAGACTTTAACGAAAATACGTCACAAGGTAGTTAGTTCACATCTACCGATCAAGAACTGACGGACTTAGAGAGGGTCAAAGTTTTAGTTATTTAGTAGTTAGTTATTAAGTTAGTTAGTTAGTTAGTTAGTTAGTTTGTTAGCTAGTTAGTTAGTTAGTTAGTTAGTTAGTTAGTTAGTTAGTTAGTTTGTTAGTTAGTTAGTTAGTTAGTTAGTTAGTTTGTTAGTTAGTTAGTAGTTAGTTAGTTAGTTAGTAGTTAGTTAGTTAGTTAGTTAGTTAGTTAGTTAGTAGTTAGTTAGTTAGTTAGTTAGTTAGTTAGTAGTTAGTTAGTTAGTAGTAGTTAGTTAGTTAGTTAGTTAGTTAGTTAGTTAGTTAGTTAGTTAGTTAGTTAGTTAGTTAGTTAGTTAGTTAGTAGTTAGTTAGTAGTAGTTAGTTAGTTAGTTAGTTAGTTAGTTAGTTAGTTAGTTAGTTAGTTAGTTAGTTAGTTAGTTAGTTAGTTAGTTAGTTAGTTAGTTAGTTAGTTAGTTAGTTAGTTAGTTAGTTAGTTAGTTAGTTAGTTAGTTAGTTAGTTAGTTAGTTAGTTAGTTAGTTAGTTAGTTAGTTAGTAGTTAGTTAGTTAGTTAGTTAGTTAGTTAGTTAGTTAGTTAGTTAGTTAGTTAGTTAGTTAGTTAGTTAGTTAGTTAGTTAGTTAGTTAGTTAGTTAGTTAGTTAGTTAGTTAGTTAGTTAGTTAGTTAGTTAGTTAGTTAGTT